GGAAAGAGAGTATCCTCTTGCTTACTAATTTAGAACCCGAACCAAAGGGGATGTCGAAGAGTACTATTTCTCCTTTGGAAAGCAAGTCATGGAGAAAATTACCGAAATTTCAACGACGATTCTACGAATGGCTTGTCTACTCTCACAATCTTCCTATCGCTGGCGAGGAAGACGGTAGATGTGGTAAGTTTATTCATATTTGTTGTTAATTATTGGGGAAGACTTAAATACTCTAAAATTTGACTATTATTATTAAGACGCTATTCATATCATGCATGTACTGAAATTATATTAGTAAGTCTGAGTTCAACCTTTGATATTTATTTATAACAAATGGCAGGCGTCTTGATGGTTATCATTAGCCCTTTAGCTGACTTCAGGCTTCACAGAGGGGAAGGAACATTAAATTGAAAAAGTCGACAGAGGGGGAACAGAAGAGTGTTTCAAAGATGTAAGAGACAAACACAAAGGTAGAACAAAGGTGGGGTGAGTACTGTGAAATAGTCGAATATGGCATCGAGTGAGGTGATGGTAGTTTGAAGTGAGAAGCCAACTGCCAGTCAATAGACTTTTTTGCCGGATGAGTTTACGTTGCCCAGGGTGCACCACGTAGAGGTAAGTCTATCGCACACCCCACCCTTTGATATAGCTTATGTGTGATACACCGGTGTTCGTTCAGTACATTTAATCAATTAGAACAAATTCCAGAAAATTTGTGCAGTGTGTAACTTATTGGCTGTGGTTTAAGTTATAGTTTCTTGGTGTCCTCTTTCCAGATGAATTTTTGGTAAACATTTAATGGGATATCGTTTGCATATTACCGGCTTCATTCAGTTCAAACTTGACTCTTTTCCCCCTTCTTTCTGAGATAATTTTTAGTACTAAGCATACATTATTGGTCTGGTTATTTGTCTTAACTTTTTAGATGATTTACTACTTATATCTAATAAGTAAAGTGCAAGTCCTCATTTAACTAAAATCGTCTTCATATTGCCCACTAGAAATGGAATGTTTATTTATTTATTGGTATCAAATGGCATGCGTTTAATAGTTTTTATTAGCCCTTTAGCTGACTTCGGGTTTCACAGAGGGGAGAAACATTAAAGTGAGAAAAAGTCGAAACGAGGGGGACAGCAGAGTGATTCACATATGTAAAAGAGACAGACAGACAGACACAAAGACAGAGAAAAGGAAAGATAAGTTCTGTGAAAGTGTAGAATGTGACACACACAATGGGGTCATGGTTGTTTGTAGTGAGAAGTCAACTGTCTGTTTATAGCCTTTTTCCGTCTAAGAATACGTCGGCCAGCCAGGTGGCATCACGTGGAGGTATGTCTATCGTACATCCTCAGATATGGAAAATAAGCCTCTTTTAACTTTGTGGAAAACTTTATTAGTTTTGATTAAGTTGTGTTTCGTACGGATAGGAGAAACGTCTATTTAATAGAGCAAAATTTAGATTTTGGCTCGTATACAATCCTCGGGGCTCAAATCTTTTCGACCCGCTTCCAGAACGGTTGCTAATTAACTGCAAGAAAATGTGTTTCAAACTATGGAAAATTCAGAAGTCGATTCGCTTCAAATTTAAACTCACAAAACCTTTTAATTGTATAGTTCTATTCTCTAAATTTATAATTATATTGTAAAATTTCTCAATTTTACGGACGTAGCCATATGTTGAGATAATTAAAGCCAGAAAGGTATACCATAAGCGATATATGCTAGCGACAACTAGTGCCTTTTCATTGGTTTCACACAAACTACCAATCACATCTTCTCACCTCACGTTGCCATTGGTGATGACCATACAGACGCCCACAGTAGCATCTAAGCTCGACTCAAGCTCCATCTCACACACACACATACCCACACTATGTGCAGGTAGGATGCATCAAAACTACCGCGATGATTACAATTACAATTCAAATTATAATCTCTTAGCAGGTAATCTTCGACAACAGCCTGCTCCAATTTCAGTCTTTCAGTCAGAGACTTACAGTGACTACAGACGTGGAGAGGAAGCTGACTCCTTAATCAATGCCTATGATGAGGAAGATGAGGAAATTCATGACCAACAGAGGGGTCCAATGCCTCATCCCTCTTTCCAAGAAGTTGGAGAAAAAGATGCCTACTCACCATACGTCAGTGGAATGGATGTTAGACTGGCTCAATTCGTTAATCAGCACAACATTAATATGGACGATGGAGCTGTTGTCTATCCCGTGTCCAATCAGAATACCACAAAGAGCAAGAAGAAGTGAGTTGAAAAGAAGTCTTGTGTTTGTTCATCTTTAATCTCGACTTTGAATGTGTCTGCGACTGGGGTTCTTCAGACTGCTCCTTTAGATGAGATTAGAAACGTTTGTTTCTTTTTTTCAATATTCATTAATAGGGAAATGACATTTCTCCAAGGAGTTCTGCATCTTCTCATTAGAAAAAGCCTACAATTTTTCTACAAATTTTTGGTTATGTGACTGCTTCGATTAGTTATGCTTCTTCCTGGCTATTTCCAAGAGAGTTTATATATTTGGTTTGGCTAACATTTATTATGACTCTTGGTCTAAATCAGATTCATCTGATCGCGTTCAAAGATGGACAGTTACTGCCGATTAATTCACTTTTTCCTTGTATCAAAATCAAGTAGAACTAGCTGGAAATAATTGGAGTGTGCATCTTGTTCGATCCTGATATTAATAGGTGCGTCGATTCTTTGTTATAAAGAATCTACTTGAACTTTGTGGACACTATATATTATAATTAAACGGGTGTACGATAGACTTACCTCCACGTGGTGCATTCTGGGCAACGTATACTCATACGGCTAAAAAGTCTATTAACCGGCAGTCGACTTCTGGCTTCTAACTACCATCACCCTACTGTATGTCATATTCTACTGCTTCCACAGTACTCACGTCACCTTTTTTCTACCTTTGTGTCTGTCTCTTTTACACCTTTGAAACACTCTTGTTGTCATATTGGTATTTCTTCTCCTCTGTGAGGCCTGAAGTCACCTAAATGGCCAATGAAACTATCAAAATGCCTGCCATTTGATATAAATAAATAACTAAACGCCACTCTGTGCTGATTTTAGTGAATTTATTTTTCGGTCAAATAATCACAATCGAGAATGTACTCATCACGCCCTCGGCTAGTGAACTCAGGTCTAAGCAAGATTGTGGCATTTTTTCAAACTGCACTTTTGAAATTATTTATGATCATTCCGGTTTGGTACCTGAGATTCTTCCTCCTGTTACTCGAATGAGTTACTCGTTTATTGCAAGTTCTATTTTTAATAAATCATTTTTACTTAATGGATCTGAGCTTTGGCATCTTCCCACGCCTTTTAACCTCCCCAGTTTGACCTTATATTTTTTTCGAAGCTAAGGCTTCGTTTGAATTATGTGTGACCTAATATTTGAGAGAATTTTAAACCGCAAATCTCATGTCCTTTTGTCATATTCTAACATGGAACTGTTTAGCTTCGAGCGCATGATTAGGGCAAATGGCTGCTGGAATCCCACAACTAAATGTACCAATATGCACTGAATGGGGGTGCGCAATAGACTTACCTCCACGTGGTGCACCCTGGGCAACGTATACTTATGCGGCAAAGTCTATTAACTGGTAGTTGACTTCTCCGCATACGGCAAAAAAGTCTATTAACCGGCAGTTTTCTTCTCACTTCAAACTACCATGACCCCCCTATATGTCCTACATTCTCATACGGCAAAAAAGTCTATTAACCGGCATTTGACATGACTTCAAACTACAATCACCCCACTGTATGTCAAATTCGACTACTTGACTTCAAACTACCATCATCCCACTCTATGCCATATTCGAGCTTCAAAGACAAAAAAGTCTATTGATCGGCAGTTGACTTCTGACTTGCAAAAAGTCTATTGATCGGCAGTTGACTTCTGACTTCAAACTACCATGACCCGACTCCATGTCATATTTCACAATACTCATCGTCCCTTTTTAACGCCTTTGTGTCTGTCTGTCTGTCTCTTTTACATCTGTGAAACATTTCCCCTGTCGAATTTTTCTCACTTTAATGTTCCTCCCTGGGGTGTGTGATAGCTGTTCATCCTCTTGACCTTTTGTCACTTTGATGTTCCTTCTCCTATCTGTGAAGCCCCGAAGTCAGCTCCAGGGTTAATTATAACTATCAAAACGCCAGCCATTTGATATAAATAAATAAATGTGCACTGAATGTATTACCTAGAAAGGCAAAAATGTGTTTTCCATTTGAAGTTTGTCCAAATGAGGGGCAGAATGCAATAACCCGAAAAAAGGGACTGAGGAGGCGGAGAATAAACTCGATGCATTAAAAGAGTCATAATTAAATTTAGATTTACTAGTTTCGCGAAGCTCCTTGAGTCGCTCTCTCGCTTTTCAGCTATTCTAAAATCAAGGTTCCGTAAGTAGAAATACAATATTTAATAAATAAAATTTACTAGAACGTAATTAATGATGGGAGTTAAGAAAATGTATTTCAGTGTCACTGAGTGAGCTATTAAGTGATTATGCGCCGAATGACCCTTGAACTTTATCCTCTAGGCCATTCACTCCGCCTTGCGGTTGCTCCCGGAAACAATTCATTTGGGCCGTTAGTGGCACCACGGTGGGGCTCGTGGCGCTGATTGCTCTAATTGTCACATTGGTTTTGATCTTTGGTCGCGTTCAGCCTTTCAAATTTCCCGAGGCCGAGCCATGGTGGACCCACGGTTTGCTCTATCAAATTCATGTACCAACTTTTGCCAACGATGCTGGTGGCTCACTTGGCCGATTCAAGGATGTCACCTCAAGAATCGTCTACCTCGCAGATAGGGTAGGTCTTAAACTAATATAAATAGCTCTAAACCGTCTTTCAACCCTGCAAATCCCATAATTGCCACTGATATACTCGTTCCGCCCTTCTAATATTTGTATGTAGCCGAACTAGTCAAATCATATCATTTTTGCCCACCGTCTATTTGGTTGTAGCCCGCCCCCCCCCCCCCCCCCCCCCAACACCGAAAAACCTGTTAATTAAACGATTCAAGTTGATTCAAAAGCTGAACCTCCAAATCTTGCCGTTTTACATCAATGGTTGAAGTAAGCAATAGATAATGCTTTATGTTCCCATTCAACATTTCAGCAAGTGATATACCGTGTTGAGGTAACTGTTAGGGTGTCATATTTGCAAAATGTTAACCCTTCGTTGGTTAACGATGAAGTGAAAATGGGAAAAGTCTTAAATAGCGACCTATTGGCACTCAATCAGTTTTGAGGCAGCCACATTTTCTCAGAGATCGAGTCACCTTAAAATTTACGCTATTACTACTTGATCAGCCATAAGTCTGTTCAATCGGATAATTGTAGATTCAATCCTTTTAGAGATGTTTTAGAAGCCTTTGACTTGGGCCAAGGATGCGTTTAATGCTGTTCTTGTTGACAGGAATTATTATTCGCGGTTGACTTTTCACACCACTGGAAGCATACCAATGTGCGTCAAAGTTGAGACGCTGATCACTAAGTCTCCGGTGAATAGAGTTCGAAGCCATTCGGATTTTATGAGTCGAAATATAGATTACAGTGATTGTTTAAAATAACTTTAATTTCGTTTTTGAGGCAGAGGAAAGAATGAATTTCGAAATTCTCAAACGTATGACTCATTCTTGTCCTCTAAAGGTCTACGCCACGGCGGCCATTCTGACGGGCGTTTTAGACGCGGACAAAAATGGCGTTAAAAATTGGATGTCAATAAACCAGGATATCAATAGTGAGGGGGACGCGGTGGACACTTTGCTGGGAGGGCTGAAAGCCCGGTCAAGAGAAAGTGGAATTGAGCTCATTCTTGGAATGCCACTTTATGCGACCAGTGAACGACATGCTTGGTTCCAGCAGAGTGCACTCCAAGATCCACCAAAATATGTGAACTATTATTTGTGGAGAACGGAAGCCGTAAGTTCACATTTGATACACATTTAAGGTGCATTCAAACGAGAGCGCATTTGTTTTATTTATAACCCTAAAACCCGCATTCCTTAAAAATTACATCCAACAATTAGTGATAACCTTATATTGGATTACAGTCCTTTTTTGCAGTAGCTCAGGTTAATTAAAAACTTTTGTTAGTCTAACTGTAAGACACATTATAAATAAGCACTTACTTCCTTATTGTGAGTTTGACTGCGCTTATATCTATTCACGTCCTTTCTCGGCCTTTCTATTTGCAATGCCATCCATTCCATCAGATTACTTATTCCAAATTTTGTCATTTTGAACTATCTCATCGGTGTTATATTTTACTCAAATATGATAATCCTTTTTTTGCCAACTCATGTTCTAATGAATTCGTTGAAAGCGCTTTTTACAATGCTTATTATATCACGGAGTGGAGAGGGTAAACATAGATTTCGTGGACATGAAAACTGACACGAATGGAGCCAATTTAATAGATGATCGGCTCAAAATTTGATTTTCGAATTTTATATAATATAATTCCCAACTATAGCCCTTTGTTCCAGGCTCTAGTATTCCATTGCCCATATTTCTTTTTATTTATTCTCCATTCTTTGAATTATTGCATTTTCGCGTCAACCTGGATGTATATGCCAATTAATTAATTCGCGCATTTGAATAACCCCTCAACATACCACACTTCTCTATTAACCCAGATAGAAATACGAATTTAGCAATACAGAGTACACTTTATTCACTTGAAGCGAGTTATACCTAAATTATTAATAGTAATTAGTTTTTCCTCTACAATGTCTCTACATTTTTTAGCCAGTTAACCAAATTGAGGCCCGATACTATTCATATAACAGCGAGAGAAGAGCTTTTTATCGACATGTTCATGGGAATCCCGGCTCTCCTCTACTCAATCTCAGTGACATTGAAGTAAGTGGGGGGAGGGGGGGGAATAATAGCGCCTTTGAGTTAAAGTGAACCATTTACAATTACTCGCCTTTCAGGTTCAGACCGAGCTGAAGGCTGTTTTAGCATTTTGGAAGGAAGAGCTCGGTATTAGTGGAGTATTAATTACAAATTCCTCAAATATTCTTGAAGAAATGGCTGCTCCATTGACAACCATTTTATCCTCAGCACGTGATGGTAAGGAAAGTCCCACTTAACCCGCATTGGCATGACACACGTCTTTTTGCACATGTTGTATTTCTTTTCAGAAAATACGGATACATTTACTTGGTTTGCTGATAACACCGCGGCCGATAAACTTCTTACAGGAAAGCCTCTTTGTTACTATGATCTTATTAGCAACGAACGCATAACTACCCGAACGGGCGACATTACTGCCCAGATAAATACAAGTAAGTGCTTTATCAATGTCATTTTGTAATTCAACGAATTAAAGCAACTAAGGCGAAATTAATTAAATTTCTAATGAAAAATTCTCTTGGGTAATTTCAAATCGCTTTGAAATAGTGGGAACAAATTTATTTCAGTGGAAGCGTTTGTTATTCTTAAGGCGACATTCTTAAATTACCACCGTGTTAGATCGTAAACCCTAGAAACTGAGCATAGTCCTCGAGTTTTAAAAAAGGTTTTTTAAGTTAAGTGTCTTATTTATGTTCACTAATTCTAATTTTATAAAAAGCGTATGTTTTAAACATACAATTCGTATTTACGAGATATTTTTTTAAACTTAATAAAATAAATAGATAAAAAATTTAAGATCATTTGTTTTATGTGAACCTAGTTCTTCCCGAGATCAAACAGCGGTCCTGCTCCCCTGTTTGGAGACTTGAACAAAAGTCCATGGATTACACCGATTATTTTTCCCTCCAAAAATTTACAGCATTCCTTCCTGGTCTCAGTCTAATGAAAGCTGGTGAAGAAGTTCAGCTCGTATGTTTAACAAACTTATCTTCAATAATATAGTTTTCTGATAAAAATCTTTAAGATAAAAAAATGGTGTTTTAGATGACAGGAGCAACTGAGCTCATCCAATGGGGGTACACGGATGTAACTGATTTCAAAAGTTACTGGCCCAATAACGTGCTACCTGGCGAAACCGCTCAAGGTCGTTTAGGGGAATGGGAACGATTTGGTGCGAAAACTGTAGGTTCTACTGGAACCATCTTCAACACTGGCTGGTCAACTAACGAAGTAAAAGTGGCAACAATTCCTCGGACTGAGAATCTCTTCGTCGCTCAACGTGTCTATTCTCCAAACGCGGCTCATATTGCTACATTCTTTGTGAGCTTTCAGTCTTTAAATGCGTACACAAATTTGGCAGACGTTGTACCAAATTCTGATGGTTCCACATACGCGGAGCTGATCTATGAGGGAAGACGCCTTTCTTCAGGAAACCAACTTGAACTCACTTGGGTCTACTTGGTCAATAATGACGTTTATATTACCATGTCATAAAACTTAAATCGAGTATTTTATGATATTTCTGTAAATAATGCGGATCTATGATAAAATTTAAAGTGCCAACATTTTACAAAATAAATGTGTTAAAATAGCGATATCATCGACACTTTCTTTACAAATTTAAAGTACCACTGTTGTTCCGAAACGCTAGAATAAAATAACAAGGCGAATTTCAACAAATTTATTTCATCGTAGGGGTTTTGTTTGGAGCAGTACTATATTGCAAATAGTAAGACAAATATTTGGTTGGTAAGATGAAAAGTGATTTTGGCAAAAAATGTCGAACAATAGTGTTTAAAGAGACTTGAATAAATTTTTTGAATTATATTGCATAGTAAGACATATTAACAACATTTTAAGGTAAAAAGGGATAAAAATCAAAATGTATGCGCGAAATGTGGAATAAATAAGGAAACATGAGAAAAGATATTCTTTAGAGATGCTGATTCAATTCTAGTAACTCTCGGTGTGGATACATCGTTTTAAATGGTCAGATTCTGCATGGGTCCAAATTGGACCAAAATATATGTGTTAATTCACACAACGTCCTGTATACCCTAATGCACGTACTGAAAAGCAAAGAGCAGAAATTATAATCAAATAGTAAATTGATTTATAATTTTTCAAGACACAAATATAGGCTTTAATATTGATCAATTGGGACATGTTCGTCAGGATCAAGTATTGGTCTTGAAGTGCGAACTTGTTTGTATTATTCCGAATCTGCATAAATGCCCCAGGATTCAGATCTGTTTCCATTGTTGATCCATCAACAACTGATCAGCCATTTTCATGAAAGATAATCTATTAAAAATCTTCTCTTAGATATGCAATTCTGTCCATTATTCAGAACCTTAAATATTTGTTATAAAATATATTGCTACATCAACACTTGGTCTTATCAACGACGAACAATACCCTCTCAAAAGCAAAGCAGCAATGTAGTCATTGTGAAGACTTTGCAATGGAAATTTTACGACGATTACATGAAATTAATCTGACTAATTTTATGCATAAATCTAAAAACAGTATTTCAAATAAAACATGTTTAAATACAGCAATAAAATTATTTTTGAAACTAACCTTAAGGTATTGCATCCATCGTAGACCAGCTTGATCGGTGATAGGATAAATTACATCAAAATGAAAACGAGGTAATTAAAAATAAAAAATAACCCTATGGAAAAAATATTGTAATAAGTTGGGTATGGCAATTTACAAACGCGTAGAGAAATATTTGGCTATTTTAAAATCTCGTAAGATAGAAATTTTATGTAATATTTTTATGTATTAAATTGAATAAATGTTAATCAGTATAAATTACGATTTATTTTTTAGAAAATTATTCGATTAAAATGTTAATTTTGATATTAGTAAGCATTGTTTGAAGATTTGTTTTAGTTGATTGACGTAAAGCCCCTTCAGACGAAAATCGTTCATCTACCTTTTGAGGAGCTTCAGGTATTCTACTACATATTACGGTTATATTTTATCGATATCAATTAAATTTTTCATGCCGCAAGCTTTATTTACTGTGCAGATTATAAAAATTTAATCAATTTTTGGTTGTCAATAGATACCTGCTTGAGTTTTTCTGATTATTTTTTTTACAGAAAATGTGTACATATAAAATTAGGCTGTCCATGTTTGTAATATGATTGCTTCTATTTGTTTGTTATTTCTGGATCTTTATTCTTATCAAATTGTGCAGATTTTGTCGATCTTTACTATTCCTATCATCTTTTGTTTTTACAGTTTATTTTTCAATGAATATGCGTCCCTCAGATTGTTATAGTAGTTTGGCTGGTCCACCAGCACCTTACGGAAATCCTTCAAGTGGCAATCCAAATTTTTCCTCACAGAGTTCTAACCAAATCCCTACTCAGCTTCCATACAATCCTGCACTATTTTTTAACACAATGGTCGCTGCTGCTGCTGTAAGTTAATTTTCTAATCTTTTGTCCCTTTAAGATTCTATTTTACCCTGTTTGGTTGTAAATCCTTTTTTTATTTCTCTACTTGTTTTTTAAAGTTTACTTTGAAGATAATTTAATGGTAGTTTTTAGTGCAGTTCCTCTTCCATGAGTTTTCTGAATAAATTTTTCGAAGTTTGAAATATTTCATAATTTAACTTTGAAATTGCCTGAATTTTTTCAATCGTTTCCCTGCTTTCCCAAAGGCTGTTATTTACTTACTTGCAGGGTTGCTGCATTGAATTTTACGTTTGATTTTTACTAAAAATTGGCTTTCTTGTTTTCATTAATAAATTTCCTTTTTTTCTTTATCTAAAGTAGGACTTATGAATAAGGAAGCCTTTAGTTCTACTTTAGGCAATATGGAATTGATTTAGGTGCTGATGACTTGATCATTTCATTAATGGTGACTCATAATTTGCCTCTTAATTTTGTTCCTTCGAAACTCATCAATGTTTAAAATACCTATTCACTTATAGTAAAAATTTTCGACAGCATGAATTTGTAAATTTTCTATTACTGTGCTCCCTTTATTCTCCATTTCAATTGGAAGAATTCTTATTATTTATTTAGAGCCAAATGCGTTGTACTATTTGAGTAGAAGACCTCTCGATTAATAAGCAAGTGGCTTATTTGCTAATTATCTCAAATAATCTAATGATTGAGCCTCACTGTTGTGGTGTTTGCTTTTATATGACCTCACATGGTCATAAAATCTGCTCGAAACCGTCTACCAATAGATGACTGTTGCTTTAAACTTGAGCATTAATTTTATACCACTCTGACTTGGGGTGTACTCGTTTGTTAGATCGATTTCCTACTTAACCTAACGTTTCTTCGATTGACCTCATAACCCGAATAATTTGTTTAGCATTTTTATTAATATCATCTGGGTCAAAAAAAGGTCATGGGCTTTTTTATATTATCGAAATCCACATTTTAAACAACTTTTTAATGAACCTTTATTGGTCTAAAACCTACGGCCCATGGATTTCTATGCTTCATTGATAGTTGTTTCTTAAATATGTTTCGATCGTAGAGTAATGTGATATTTTTTTGAAAGTGTGTTTTTTGTACTATAGGTTTTACTAATTAATTAATTAATTTTGGAAATAAGTAGTCGCCATTAACTGTACAAGCAATTATTAATCTGCCACTTGCCCCCACGCTAATGAATGACCGGGGTTGAATTGTTCTCTGGTCTCATTGAACTTTATCTTAGCTTAATGAAACAAGACGATGCCAATAAGTATTAGGAAATCATTTATTTATATCAAATGGCAGGCGTTCTAATAGTTATCATTAGCCCTTTAGCTGACTTCAGGCTTCATAGAGGGGAGGAGGAACATCAAAGTGGAACAAAGTCGAGAGGGGGGGGGGGAACAGAAGAGTGCTTTAAAGACGAAGATAGAAGAAAGGGTGAGGTGAGTACTATGGAAGTATACGAATATGACATACAGTGGGGTCATAGTAGTTTGAAGTCAGAGGTCAACTGCCAGTTAATAGACTTTTTGCCGTATGAGTATACGTTGCCCAGGGTGCACCACGTGGAGGTAAGTCTATCGCACATTGAATTGCTTAAAGGTCTGGCAACGAGTGAAAAAAATTTGATAACTGCCAAAAGTCGGCAATCAATTAACTCAAAGTAATATAAAAGCTAACGCATAGTGGGAATGGTCATTGTCCTTTTTCTCATTTTGGGTGTTGCATTCGCTAAAGCCAGAGGAACAACACAGACGTGCATTTATTATTATGACTTTTCATTTATGAAATTCCTTTTTGGGGTTACACACAACGCTTCCATTTTGAGTAATTTCCCTTGCGATGTATTGCTTCTGGAGTGCTTTAAATTACGCATTTATTTCTACTTACATTGTCTGGTTTTGATTGCTATCGCTTTTTTAAATCTTAGCTTTGATTATTTATCACTGTGACTTAGTGTGCTCGTTTGTTAAGTCAATTTCTACTTGGCCTAAAGCTTCCACGATTGACCTCAAAGGCCGATCGATTAGTTTAACATTTAATAATCTGTGCCATAAGGTCGTACTCATCTTTTTTTATTATCTGAATCCACGCTTTGAACAAGCTTCCTAATGAAATTTAATTTGCTGTTTTTAAGACTAAATTTCCTGTTTTACTCTCGGTTTGTTTACCACTACCGCCCACGCGCTTTGATTCCTGCTTATACAAACAATTTAATCATTTGCCAGGCGCTGATGAACTTTCATGACTCTTGGCTACTTATTATTTTGGTAGAAGGCGGACTTAAGATGAGTTTTCAAGCAGTGGATTATTGCATTGAAAATATCTCTTCTAGTCATTTTTTTTGGAGTTGTTCAATTGAGGAAACTGGGGTTTCCACTGCCGATACGGACCTTTTCCAGGCAAATTATTATGACACGAAGGAGTTAGCGTGAATAGAAAAGTCTTTTATTTACTATTTTATTCAGAATTTGTCTTTTTTTACCTTCAGAATAGCTTAGCCTTACCAAATATGATGGGTCAGAGTGCTCCAAATGTAGCCGCATATAACGCAGCCTATCAAAACGCGGCGTATAATCAGTATTACTATCAACAACAGTACGGCAGCTCCAATTTACAACGACAAAATTCTGCTTTCCAACCGACTGTCAATTATTGTGGCCCTCAGTATCAGGCAGTAAACGCAGTAAAGGTGTTGTTGATAATAACTACAAATTACTGAAAACATTTGAGTAGCTTAATTCTATATCCAGTTTGCTTTATTTCAGACTACGAAGGAAGCAACTTCAACTCCCTCACGTAAGACTAAGAAGCGTCCACCATCCGAACCGCCAGAGAAACTGGACTTGAGAAGACGTGAAGATTTCAACGAACTGGCTCGAGCAAGAACAGATGTTCTCCTTAAAGACAAATCTCTATTTACTGTGAGTTGTCTCGAAATAGTCTCTTCAAGCCTGTTGGAATTGCATTTTAAGGGGGTTTTTAACTCTTAGCCACTGACCGTAAATGATTCAATGGCGAACGGGTCGTCGACGTCGTCTTGTAATTCACTAAATAGTGATCAAATGTCCGCCTCAAAGGCCCTTGCCGTGCAGAATGGAGAACTCCTTAATGCCCTTCTTGATGAAAGAGTTCGACAAATTTTGACGTTTCCATCGATAATGGAATCACTGAGAACTAAGCAAGCTGCAATCAACAAGAAGATGAGGGAAGAAGAGACCTTTATTGCAAAAATGAAAAAATCCGGCACACTTCCTGTTTCAGTCGATCCTGGTACTTTACTCAATACTGCTACTGGTTAACTCTGGCTCATTTCGAGGTTTACTTTTTACGCCGAAAATTTCTTACCTTTTTATATATTCTCGTATTGTTTTAAGTGACCCTCTTTTGTAATCTTCCCATTTCAATAACATTTTTATACAAGAATTATACGTTTTCCTTTTATTCCTTATGGGGGGTGTGTGATAGACTTACCTCCACGCGGTGCACCCTGGGCAACGTATACTTATGCGGCAAAAAAGTCTATTGATCGGCAGTTGACTTCTGGCTTCAAACTTTTATGGCCCGACTATTTGTCATATTCGACCCCTTTCGCAGTACTCATCTTACCTTTTTTATGCCTTTGCGTCTGTCTGTCTGTCTCTTTTACCTCTGTGAATCATTTTTCTGTCTCCCATCTCGACTTTTTGTCACTTTGATGTTCCTTCTCCCCTCTGTGAAGCCCCGAAGTCAGCTCCAGGGCTTATGATAACTATCAAAACTCCTGCCATTTGATATAAATAAATTTATTCCTCATGGGACAGAATATG